CAGCAAACACCAACACTTCCACCAATATCATCCAATTACATGGATACAAACACATACTAATTATTACTTTTAGCAGCACTGAATTTCACTATAAAAAGGAAATAGAAAGTATATAAATATAAATCAGTGAATAAAATAAAGAAAATCTGTAATTTGTTACCTTTATTTCATCTTCTTCATTTACATCGCAAGGTACAAAATAACACTCTCCTTCATGACTTTCAGAATTTACCTCAGTCTCTAATTGTTTACCAGATTCAACTTAAACAAGAGCTTTTTTAATATTAATCATCATTAATTTTCATTAACAGAAATAATGATTGTGCTATTGTGCTATTAAATATATAATACTCACTCGGGGTAAATCCAATGCCAATCAAGTATCAATTCAATGCCAAACAGGAACCAATCTAATACCAATCAGCAGTCTATCCAATGCCAATCTAGGGCTAATCCAATGCCAATCGATATTATATCCAATTCAAATCAGAGAGGTCAATCCATTACTAATCAAAGGGCCAATTAAATGCCAATCAAGGGTCAATCCAATGCCATGAAGAACCAATCCAATGCCAATCGGGGATAAATCCAATGGCATTCAGGGGTCAATCCAATGCCAAACAGGGAGCAAACCAATACCAACCAGGGAGCAATATAATGCCAATCAGGGGGTCAATCCTTTGCCAATCAGGGGTCGATCTAATGCAAATCAGAGGTCAATCTAATGCCATGAAGGACCAATCCAATGCCAATCAGAGGTCAATCCAATGCAAATCAGGGGTCAATCCAATGCAAATCAGGGGTCAATCCAATGCAAATCAGAGGTCAATCCAATGCAAATCAGGGGTCAATCCAATGCAAATCAGGGGTCAATCCAATGCAAATCAGAAGTCAATCCAATGCAAATCAGAGGTCAATCCAATGCAAATCAGGGGTCAATCCAATGCAAATCAGGGGTCAATCCAATGCAAATCAGATGTCAATCCAATGCAAATCAGAGGTCAATCCAATGCAAATCAGGGGTCAATCCAATGCAAATCAGAGGTCAATCCAATGCAAATCAGGGGTCAATCCAATGCAAATCAGAGGTCAATCCAATGCAAATCAGGGGTCAGTCCAGTGCCAATCAGGGGTCAGTCCAGTGCCAATCAATAGCCTATTCAATGCCAATCAAGAACAAATCCAATGCCAATCAGTTGTCTATTCAATGTCAATCAAGGGTCAATCCAATGCCAATCAGTGACAAATATAATGCCAATCAGGGGGTCAATCCTATGCCAATCAGGATCAATCCAATGCCATGAAGGACAGATCCAATGAAAACCAGGGTGAAATCAAATGCCAATCAGGGGCAAATCCAATGACAATCAGGGGTCAATACAATGCCAATCAAGGGCCAATGTGGTTAAAACATCAAGCATCATGACCTGTTCATTATATGCTTTCTAATTTTGCCAGAATGGACATACATGTTAGAAAATGAAAGGAAGACAGTATAAACTTACCACCTCTGGCACAAAACACTACCTTGGCACCATTTTGAACTGAAAATATAAAAAAAGTGCATCAATCAGCTTACATATAATTGTTATATATTCCACAAAAGGATGTGCAATGTTTCATTGGAAACAATGTTCGGTTGATCCTAATCACTATTTGAATGAAATCAAACGTTGTGTACTGAAATGCATGTGCTCTATATAACAGTGACACAAGTGTCTTTGGTTTGACTTGGTTCATTGGGCAGTTTATTTGATGCATGCTGGGAAATCTTTCAAATTGCATAATTTCCAGATGAGAGACAACATTTTCAAAACAACCAATTGGTCAAGGTTAGTATGTGACCATGCCATGCAAAACCATTGCGTTAGTATGCATTTACTGCAGGTCTAGGTGACCTTGAAATTCTAGATGAATTTTAGATTTGATGCGTCCTTTCCATTTGATGCTAGATTTTACATAATTAGCATTATGTGTTTAACCTTTTTTTAGGTAAGTAATATGGTTTTTAATATTCATTTCTTTTTCTGGGTTTAATGAGTTAAATGCAACCACATGATATGGGGGTACCAGTTAAAATATACTTGAGTTTTCATAAATAAATTAACAAAAATAGTAAAATATTTTAGCTTTAAATTATACACTAGATTTGCTTACAATTTGCTTAAAATATATATAAAAGTATTGTGTATTGTGTGATCATTCATTATTTCGCATTATGGCTATTTTGAGGGTTTCTTATTAATTTCTCAATTTTTTATTTTCAAACATGACAAATTAATGAACACAATCCAATATTCCTTCAACTTTAATTATGTTGCCTTTGAACTAATATAAATATATTGGTGTCAATAAAAATTGGAAGTCACTAAACTATTTTTTGAGAAATGTTGTACAAAATGCATCTCCTCGTATCTCAAATGTTTGTTTGAAAATGTGTATACCATAATACTCTATTAGAAGCGCTTATTAACCTAAAATTACTATTATTGTAAAGCCAATTGGGGGCATTCCCGAATTATTTATTTATTTAATTCTTTGTTGAAGAAATAGTTTAAAAATTAAATAATGGTTAAAATATAATCAATTTTGTTTTTATAATATTTAATAATTTTGTTCATATAATATTTAATATCAATTTATACTAATTTAAACATTAAGTATTGCCAAACTGGTTTTACTGTTTTCTCAAAAATTCTGAATAGTCACTTAAAGCGACACTCGCTCGCAAAACAACATCAACAACAGGAGATCTTTTCATTGTAAACAAAGTACTTCAACATGATGGACCTTTCATTACAGAAATTATGTGATTATTGATATATTATATTGTACGTCGTATCATGCTAGGGAAGGAAGTCAAGGAAAATACCTATCATGCGATCAAACGTCTTAAAAAATTGTAAACACAAAAGCCGCCATACAATCAAATTACTTGTATTGAAGAAGAGTAGAAAGGGGGCGTATCAACCCCAGCTGTTATAAGTTGGTATAGTTCAAACAAAAGGTACACATGCCAGCTTTTTTTAGTATAATTATATGACAACCTACCGAACACTCTGACTACGCCTTCACCTATGCCTTTTGAGCCACCAGTGACAATGGTCACTTTCCCATCATATCGAAGATTGCGACTAAGTGACCCAGCCATCACCCTGTATTACAACTTGTTTTCCTCTGCTGTCATCCGCTTATCATGTGACTGCATGACTCAGGTTTGACGCCGGCGGCGCTCGACAAGAGCCTCTCAGAGTTTGTAGATAACACGCAAGGTTCCCACACGTTTCCACGTAACAGGTGCTTTGATTGGTCAGTTGCATCTTGCAACAGACATGACGTAATCACTTCATTATAAATAAATTACACATTCATGGCAAAAAATGCGCCCAAGTGTTTAAATAAAAAAGGTAAATATTGAAAAATAATCGGATAAAATACTAATTGTACTAATCGGATATGTTAAACATAGTAATCTGTTCTGTACACAGATCTAAAAATGGGAAAGATCTGGGTGTAAAAAAAAACATGAAACGATTAAAGCACGATGTCGCATATATAATAAATAATGATACAATAATACTTCTATAGATAGAGGTACTGTGCTTCTAATAAAGGGACAACTACGCCACGTATAGTAACTATAATTTTAATTAATTGTTAACCGAACTTTGGGTTACGGAAAACATAAAACGTTAAACGAAACAAAAAATATATGCTGTCCATAACTCGAAGTTTTGTTAACTGTTTATTGAACATCGTGTTACAATTTTGAAGTGGTTTCTCAACAGGGGGCGTGGTTTTTAAAATATGGGCGTGGTCATTTTTGTAACTCGACGTTATCGTAACTCGATGTCTGTTTATTTACTCGTCAGTTCAAACTCAGACTAGTAATAATTACTAGTCTGAGGTTCAAAGCAGATTTAAAAACCAACACGCAAGACGCATTTACTACAAAATGTTCCACACAGAGATCCAAAAACATGTTAAATTCTACTCTGAGTCAGTGTAATCAGTTTTTACATAGACTTCTATAGATTTATTGGTTTTCAAGTATATATATTCTATAATACGGTAATTCAGTGTTAGAGTATGATATATCATAGTGACAGTCAAATTATTTATAGGATATTGTTACAACATATGTTTTTCACTTGGTTCCCTGGGAAATATATTCGAGCTGTTGTGAATGATTTGTTGTATTAATGAAAGTTAGCGCACTAATTTCTGAGGCATTCATTAAAATTCGGGTCTGAGCAGTTGTTGTACTGCACGGAATGTGCTGTGGGCCTGACGATACTACTCTAAAAGTCACGTGTAGAAACAACAAATGATATCTTCTACTAGTACTAGGATCACTGCATTGACTGCTTAAATGTCAGTAAATATTTCCTCTGTTGTGTATTTTACGCTACCGTATTGTGCCAATGCGCGTAAAAGTCACATGACATGTAGTATGGTCAGGTATTACCGAAGAATAACAGTAAAATAGGTTTGCTATGTTATTCGGATGTCCTGCCAGTGGAATTACTAGTATATCCGGGAACAAAACGGGTCTTCAAATGTAATATTTGTCGGCAATGCTGTCCTTTGTGGAAGCACCGTTGAGGGACGGTGGTGGAAGCCAAATGTTTAAGAAGGAAGCTAGTTAGTTCACTGAGTATAAAACTGGAGGTAGACAGTTAGTTTACTGAATATAATACTGAGTACAATTGAAAACATTCTCGCAAATACGTAGGTATAAACATATACCCTCACTAAGGTATAATCACTGTTTCAATATTTATAGTAGAAAAAAAACGTTGAAAGATATTGTAATAAAATGGCAAAGATAATTGAACTCATGAAAAACGTCGCGGGAAAAATGGCAAAGATGTGTATCAATTGTTAAAATTAAACACCGAGACGTCGTTCACCCCGGGCCGTTTTCTCCGTTGTCTCGATGGTGCCAAAGTAACACGGTTCGGGAAAATGGTATGACATAACGCACTGCTATAGAGGGACTGTATGTATGTCTAGATCGTATATGTCACTAGAACTTGAAGAAACGGTATTCTTCGAGCTCTGTATATGCATCCCAACGTCACAGATCTACTAAATACAACGACTTGAAAGTACTAAAACAAATATTTCCAAGTAAAATAAAAGACCACTGTGTAAAAACCTCATATAACCTGACGAGATAATTGTAATTTATTTACATAAATTCATATTCAAAATGAATGACAACCCAAAATGTTCATCTTTTTATTTTCTGAATTTAACTTTGTTTTTTAAAACTTTTTAGTGAAATCATGTTACTAACAAACATACGCCTGAGATATTAAATTCATGTTCCTATTTAAGCGTGTGAAAAATTAGTGATAATAACATTCCGTTATTAGTAACGACGAGTACCTGTGATTTCAAACGCTTGTAGCCCGACGTCCCTCTTGTGGAGTAGTTCCGTCCAAGAAAGTAATGACGTCAAATTATCCTCGTTCACAACAAATAGAAAATTAAAAAATAAGAAATTCATTATTTTTAATATATCTTCATGTCTAACTCTGTTAAAATAAATTGGCTTAATATAAACGAAATTAAACAATACAACTATCAAAACGTATATTTTATTTATTTAATTATAATGAATTTGTTGGTATTCGTGATTTAGTGCCTGACATGATTGAGAATATTTCCCCGATCTCAAAATGGCTGACCAGAAACCGCTGTTCTTCTCAAGACGCTTTCTTGTTGTTTCTTTATCAAGTTACCTCTGGGAATACTTGTATTGAGTACACGACAGCCTGTCTTTGTTTTATCCAAAACTAATGCGGGCATTATAGTTCTGTTTCTATCGAATGACATATATTTGTTTGGGTTTCCGGCTTGTTTTCGTCGTTCGTTGCGAGGGGACCGTAACAACATTTTACATGATCAGGTGTCATTTGTCGTTTTGATTGAGAGTCCGCGAGACTAGATCTGTGAAAGAATATCTACTTAACAAGTTGGAAGCCTCACTTCACAAACAGGTAAGAACGGTAATGTTTTTCTTTTAAGCCTATATTTTCTGTTTCATGTCGATTCTCTGTCGCTAAAAGCGCTCACCTGTCGTCAGAGCTTGGGATCGATCGACAGAAATAACAATATTCAAATAAATTGTTTATAACATAACATATTATCATTAAATTAGCAACGATTCCTGAAATATTAGAAATTGTATCCCACTTTATTTTTACCAATTTTATGCGATTTCCAATATTTGAGTGTGAAACTATGTACATGTACTAGTATATGCCGGTGTATCACACATACAGGTGACTGCAGTATCACAGTGGGTTTTCATTTCCTTTCCACGTTTTCATTTTCACTCTGCTGTACAAATATTTTTAAAAGTGACATTTCCCTATTCTGAAAGTACCCTGAAATATAATTTGAATTTTGTCAAAAAAAAATTACCCGTACAAAATCAAGCAATCAAAATTTTCAGCTAAATTTTCTTCTCAGTGTTTTAACTTTTATTCAAATATTAACTTTTCATAAGTTTATCAATTGCTTTGATTCTGAATCAGCACACTACCTAATTTATTTAATATAATTTATTAATTAATGAACATGTATGGCTATATATCGAACAAGACAGAACTGTAGTGGAAAGTGATTTACTGTAGTCAAATTACTTTGTTCAGTGGAGTAATTTATTTAGTAAAATTGGGTAGAATTTACCTGCCAAAAGATTATTATTAATCATTTAACAATGTTGTCACAGCTTTGATTTTATTCACTTAACACCCTGCTAGTTGAATGCCAATGGTAACTAAACAAAATTATATTAATTAAATTAGCTATAAATTTTTACCCTATAAAGGTTTCACATGAGCAATGTAAAAAGATCCATTATATTTGTAAGATGAATTCTAGAATGTTGGTTTGTTATATATAGAACAAACAATTACTTGCTATGTGGTGAAATTAGAAATCAATTTGTGAATTATCAGCATACTTAGCTAATTACTAGATATGGGTAGTGTAGTACCAATGAA